GTCTTGCATTAAAGCAGGATATGCGCAGACAACAGCTTGTAAGCCTACGGATCGTCCCATAAGTCATAAATCATCATAAGTCATGCGCGCCGCTGTGACTTAAGTCGGTCGTAGGTTGCTTTTTACGTGTTTTACACTAATTAAATCGGAAATAAATATAAATACGTGAATTATTGTTGTTTTAGACAAGAACTAGATGATTAATAACCTGGAATTGATTAGAATTCACGATTGTGATACTTTTTTGTTTTGTGTGTGTGTGGAAAAATTTCACAATTGGCGATATTTATGTATTGTTTAATGTTAATTACGTTTTTTTTTGTGGCTTTAATTGACCAACACAAATAAATATATTCGATTTGGTAACGATTTCGAGTTATTCGAGGCTTGGTAACTAATGGTAACTTGGTAATTATTTCAGGACCGTATTTATGAATTAAATTTGTAATTTTTATATGAAAAAAATAAAATAAATACTTTGTTACTTGATTTCCTTTTAGCCCAGTCATTTGGTAGTTTTGCTTGGAAAATAGTGCGGGATTGTTGAAAATTGGTATTCATATAGATTTCGAGGTGCTCTTTACGAATTTCAACTTTGCCACCTCGTATCTTGTTCGCCCGAACCACCATCTTGGAAAAATGGTGTCAAAAAACAGTTTTTTGGCCATATCTCCTTTCCGACTCATTTTACGATAAATATATCTATATAATAAATTAAATTTATTTAAGTTAAATTTATATAAGTACCTTTTTCTTGTAAAATTAATAGTTTTAGCGTACGGGCGCCGCAAAGTCTACTTCAACATTCGTATTTGCCAAAAACTCATTTCCACACCACCATGAGGTAGAGTACGTGGCGCGATTGTTTTTTTATCGTGGTATCCCCAGTAGGCCTAATCCACACGCACTATTCCAAAATTTAATGGATTGTCTTCCGATACGCTCTTCGCGATAGACCAAGTGTTCTGCGTTAATTGTCTTCAGGACCGATCGAAATATCACAAGTAAAAATTTCTTCCATACTATCCGTGATGGGATTATCGATTTCACTGCAATCTTAGTTCTTGAGTTCATCGTACGTGTGCTCAAAAACGGTAATGGTTTCTTCCTCCTTATCGCTATCTTGTGAACTTGCGAATTATCACAGGTACCACTGCAATTTATTCAGATAACGGAGCACTTCATTCTAGTCTTTCTGCAGCCGCAGGCTTTCTGACACCCCTTTTTGCATTTGCAAGATATTAGTTTTCACAATGTTTCGGGAGCTGGGGGCTCAAGTGTGGGGGATTAGCCCATTCTTCTTTCTTTTCCATCCCCATTGTTCTGCATTTAGTTCATTCCCATACTACTATTTAATTTGGTGATAAGTTCTGAACGAATGTTGTCGGGCTGCGGCTTCAGTTGGTGGTAGCGATGCAATATTAAATCTATTTTTGTATGCTGATTTTGTGAAGCTGCCATATCTATAGATGTTTGAAACATATTTTGCATAGTTTTCACATCACTGTAACTGTATAATTTAAGAAGGAAGAATTCGCCAGCTGTAGCAATGATCTCTGTACCAGCCTTTGGGTTTTTGAATACCTGGATAACTTCGTTTAAATCTGGATTTTTACGGAGTACATTAATACATTTTAATTTTTCTTGATGAAAGAGTGCAGATGTTGTATCACAGCCACAAAAAGCATGTAAGAATAATATGTGATCTGCCGCTGTTTGATCGATCATGCTTTTGGTTGAATAGATTTGTTGCAAAATTTTTCCTTTTTCTGGTTTTAGCAAATTTATGTTTGAACGCATTGATAGTGAATAAGAAGATCTACATCTTCGCCGATAACATGCACGAATTGTGATACTGTGCATTGGCTGCGACCAAATCATAAACACGCTCGAGGCATTCAACAATCGCTCTACCCCAATCATCATTACGTGCTCTAGGACGTTCTGAAATAGTGTTTTTCATCGATAATTTATGTACGCTAATCACAATATTTCGATCACTCAAATGCGTTTGTTTTTATTTCGCTATAAATTCTGCTGTTCTATCAGCAGCGTACAAAAAACAATGATTTTTAAATGAGAATGTTGGGCACGTGGATCGCAGTTGTGGTTGAAAAGTCGTGACAACACATCCTTTTTTAAACGCAATGATTAGTTTCTCATTATTATATCGTTTCCGACATATCTCGTGAACAACTACCGATCTCAATCCCTCTAAAAGTTTACCCTTATTATCCTTTCTTTTATTTCTTTCTTTAATTTCTATCACTTCACTATTTTGCAATGGAGTTTTACAAATAAAAAATTTACGTTATCAACCATGGCATCAAAACTGCAAACAACACGACTATTCAGAACAATAAATATCAAATAATGACTCAATGAAAAAATACTAAAATAAAAGTAAACTCGGCCGGCGAAACTTTCAAACAAACGAGGGGGAGCACGAGCACCCTCAAATCATAGCAAGCAAAAATAGCAGTCATGACGACTTGGAAATGACTTTTTGGCAAAAACGAATGTTGAAGTAGACTTTGTGGCGCCCGTACGCTAAAGCTATTAATTTTACAAGAAAAAGGTACTTACATAAATTATAGGAAATTTTCTCTAGTTTAATTTATTATATAGATATGTTTATCGTAAAATTAATCGGAAAGGAGATATGGTCAAAAAACTGTTTTTTGACACCATTTTTCCAAGATGGTGACTCGAGCGAACAAGATACGAGGTGGCAAAGTTGAAATTCGTAAAGAGCACCTCGAAATCTATATGAATACCAATTTTCAACAATCCCGCACTATTTTCCAAGCAACCACATTTTTTAGCACCAAATGACTGTACTATTAGTTATAAATAAAAAAATTGAAAGAAAATTGCAATAAATCTAAAAAATTTCTGTTTTTTCTGGAAAATGTTAAATTTTCAGAAAACTATTAAAGATATTAATTTGACATTAATTGAGCTTAATAAGTAATAAATTTTACGTAGACTCCTTGTAAAATTATTTAATTTTATTAAATAGTTACTGAGTTACGGGCTTTCAAAGTTGGCTAAAGTGATAAAACCAAAAAAATGAATTTTTACGTCGCAAATTTTACAATTTTGCTTATAATTAATAAACTAATTAAGATAAATCATTTCTCTTTTCAGATTCATGTAGTATATTAACAAAGCTTTCAGAATATGTTAAACAATATAAATAAATTTATTTCGAACCATTAAATATTTACTGTTTTATTTATATTGTAACTTTTTCATAAAAAAAATTAAATATTAACTTAAATAATTAATTTCTTATGGTTATAAAATAAAATTTGAAGAAAGTCTAATGTCATATGAGAGAAATTTAATTTTCTTTCACATACTCTTTAAACTTTTCCAAAATCTTAATTAGTTCAAGAGTAATCAAAGCTTTTATTAAAAAAATGCAAGAATTAACCTAAATTTTGTGTTTTTTGTTATAAAACATAAAATATTTTATGTTTAAAGTAACATTTGTTTAAACAATTATACACTTTCTGAAAGCTATGTAAATGCACTCTATAATTATGTTAACATTTTTGTAATAACTATTTTCGTTCATTTTCATTTACAGAAGCTTAAATAAACGAACTTTTTAATTTTTTCATTTGAGTTGTGTTGTTTTGTGCCATTTGTATACCTTTAGAAGGTCAATTTAATTAGTTATAACAGTTGCAGTTCTAATCTTGGCAACATCTGGTAGAAAATTTAATTTTCTTTGAATCAACACAAATATTTTTGTAATAACTTTATGTGTGTTTGAGTAATTAATAATTTTATAAAAAAAGTCAAAGTTTTACTACTGTGAAGTTTAATCAAAAATATTTATATGTTATATTAATATTTGTTTAAACAATTATACATATTTGTATAGGTAATTTAATAATCTATTCAATTTTGCAAAATTGCTATGGTATTGCAATTAGCTTAAGCATAAATGAACAAAAACTAAATTAATTACAAACATTTTTATGTTTTGTTTAACTTTATCACTAAATATTTAATAGTTATAACTGCAATCATAAAAATATTTTGATATCATATGAGAGATAATTTAATCCTTTTTCAATATTTGTTCACTGCATAGTTGTATCAATGTTAATTTAGCAGTAATTAACGTTTTAATTAAAACTTGCAAAAATGCAAGTTTTACAAGTTTAATGTTTATTAATAAATATTAACAACTTGGAGAAATATTTATTTAAACAATGACACATATTCTGAAAGGTAATGTAACAGACTATTAAATTGTTAAACAAAATTAACCTACCGCTGTTAGTTTATGCGCAAATCAACAAAAACTAAAACAAATTAAACAAATGCAATTTTCAATATTATTCTTAACTTTCCCACCTAATATTTCATACTTCTAACAATAATTTCCTATAAAATTTTACGTCAAATGAAAGATAATTTAATCCTTCATCAATATCAATTATCATAATACCATTCCTTTAATTAATTTCTTAGTTATTAACAATTATCAACAAAACATCAAAAAACATCAAATCCAATATTTAACCTCAAATAATTCATAACCCCAAAATATTACCAAACCAACCTAACATTATCCAAAAGACAATTTAATCCTCTTCCTAAATCTTCAAACAAAACTCATCTACCTCAATTCCTTCACGAGTTATTCAACAAAACCTAAACTAAACTATAACGAAAATTCCAACTGTAAATCTAACACTATTTTTTCGGACCAGACAAAATCCGAAATCACACCAAATACATCCATACCATAACCAAACAGATTAAAATTAAACGCGCAGTCTTCAAATCTTCAAGATCGGCCACAAATAGAGGTATAATATAAAGTCAACAAGCGGAACGATCCAAAAATTATACACAACGAAACAAAAAAAAAGAAGAAAAACATAAAAAATTATCTTCAAATACAAAGTGTTATACTATTATTAAGATAATTTCATATTCAACGCGTGAAAATAAAATAAAACTAAAATTTTACTCACATTATTCGATGATCAATCAAATTCAACGTTGAAATTTGTTTCTATCCTTGTGAAACACACAAAAATCACTTGATAAATCCAAATATTGTTGGTTTATTAAAGTTTGATAAAGTTTTGAAAGTTAACAAACATTTTATTTAACCACTTTATTCTATTCTTAATTAGAATTCGAATTATTGACACGATGCTTTTATTTTTTTCGTGGTGAACGTCTTAATTAGTTTCGCGCGAGCTTTCTTGCGTTTCGCACTCGAGTGTTCCAATGCGTAAAAACCGGAGCACATGCGATGATTAAACTTCTTTTGCTTCTTCTTCCACTTTTTATGTACAGTGTAGGTAATAATAATACAAGTATACGAGTATAAAATAAAACACGAACACGTAGCGGAGCGATGTTTGTGGTTGCACGACTCGAGTGCGAATGAGTGTGCAGAGTAGACGGCGCAGCGTCGGTGCCGGTAACGCGGTGGACGCGGCGCATGCGTAGTGTATGTGTGTGTGTGAGAAAAGAAGTACGGTGAGGTGAAACGCTGACCATGAGTGAGATGGGATTATAGAGTGTGGGGTGTGTATGAGAGGAATGGAGGAGGTGAGGATGACAAGGTGTTACAAGTGTTGTGTTTGGTTTTTGTGTTTGTTGATTGTGTGTTGTTTGTCGCTTGGAATGAATTGAGGTAAAGTTATGAGGAAGCATTATATGTAAGTGAAAGAGTTGGAGATGAAACCGTGTCATCAAATATTTGCAATGGACAAGTAGTAATTATTAATTAATGTTTGAATTAGCTTAAATTAAGCATTTTTTTAATGTATTTTTTTTTTGCAAAATCAAAATTTCAACTTTAAACTTAAATATCTTAAAAATAATAAAGATAATAGAGTTATTTGAACAATAATATGTTTACTAACTAAATAGCTAACAATAAACAAAATTTTAAATAAATATCACTAATCAATAAGTTTTTACAGACAAAAAACTAACAAAAATCAAATGAAAAAACAAAATTTTAACTTTAAACTTAAATATCTCATAAACAAATAAAGATAATAACGTCATTTAAACAATAATATATCTACCAACTAATAAACTAAATATAAACAAAATTTTAGGTTGTTATCTCTAACCAATATGTTTTTACAGCTAAAAAACTATCAAAAATCAAATGAAAAAAACAAAATTTTAATTGTGAACTTAAATATCTCATAAACAAATAAAGATAATAACGTCATTTAAACAATAATATATCTACCAACTAATAAACTAAATATAAACAAAATTTTATCTTGTTATCACTAACCAATAGATTTTTACAGCTAAAAAACTAACAAAAATCAAAATACCAAAAGTTATAACTTAAAACTCAAATATTTTATAAACAAATAAAGATATTAAATTCATTTAAAGCAATAATATATCTATTAACTAATAAGCTAAATATAAACAAAATTTCAACTTGTTATCACTAATCAAAAACTTTTACAGTCAAAAAACAAACAAAAATCAATTTTCTTCAGCTGTGTTTGTGCAAAAACAAAATTACAATTTTAAACTCAAATATCTTATAAACAAATAAAGATAATAATTTAATTTAAATAAAATTACCTTTAGCTACTCATTCACTACCTACAAACAAAGTTTTAACTTGTTATTACTAACTAAAAAGTTTTTACAATAAAAAAACTTTCAAATATCAAAAACCTTTAATTTGATTTGTGTAAAAACAATATTCTGACTATAAACTCAAATAATTTATAAACAAATAAAGATAATAACGCCATTTAAACAAAAAATATTTATCAACTAATAAACTAACATGAAACAAAATTTCAACGAGTTATCACTAACTAAACTGATTTTACAGCCAAAAACCAACAAAATTCAAAATTCTTTACTTTTGTTTGTGAAAAAACAAAATTATAACTTTAAACTCAAGTATTTTATAAACAAATAATGATAATTATGCTATTTAAACAATAGTTTATTTGCCAACTAATAAACTAACTAGAAACAAAATTTCAACTAACTATCATTAACCAAAAAGTTTTTACAGCCAAAAAACAAAGAAAAATCAAAATTATTTATTTTTCTTTCTGTAAAAACATAATTACAACTTTAAACTTAAATATTTTATAAACAAATTAAGATAAAAATTAAATTTGAACAAAAATGTCTTTATTAACTCATTCACTATCTACAAGTTAAATTTCAACTTGTTATCACTAACCAGACACTATTTACAGTAAAAAAAGAACTAAAAAACATATTCTTTGTTTTTGCTAGTGTTAAAACAAAAGTACAAATTTAAACACAAATAAATTATAAACAAATAAAGATAATGATTTCATTCAAACAATAATACCATTATTAACTCATACACTACCCACAAACCAAATTCCAGCTTATTATCACTAGCCAAAAACTTTTTACAGCCAAAAAACAAACAAAAACCAACAATTTCCACACACAAAAAGTAAAAAAAAAACCAATAATTTATCCATATCCCTAAGAATAAATAAACAATCCACACATAATATTTATATTTTTTATTCCTCTGCCTCATAGGTATCTCTTTACTCCATAATATAATAATATTTCATCTCCCTCCCTATTCATATCTCCTCTTATCTCATCTCATCTCTTATCATAATCCTCATTTTGTTACTCGTAAATATTTGTGTACATAATAATCATCTGCATCTCATTATACTGGTAAGTAGATAATTACAATATATTAATTAATTAGCAATACTCATCTCTATACAATACAGTACAGTGTCTCATATTATCACTAATTGTTACATTTTATTCTCAAACAAAACAAAAACAAAAATAAAAAAAAAATAAAAACAAAAATCATAATATAATTATTACTTAGTGTATTGGATTATTACTAATTCATTATTATTATTATTAATATTAATTTATTATTAATATTAATATTAGTGTAACACCGATCGCATTAATATTTACATATTATTTTCACACTCAAACGCAAAGAATATTGAGCCGTATTAATTCCCCGCACACTTCCGGTTATATTTTCCGGTTTTCCGGTTTCACGTCCGGTTTTCCGGTTTTTCTAATTTTGGCACCATAATATACTTATTGATATAAAAATCACATTTTTGTGTTTTTTCCCTCATACAATACATTATTCACCCAATTTATTATACATTCAAGGACGAAATTAAGGATCATGTGCAAAGTACTCGTATTACCCCTAGATAAGATATATCTACAAATACAATACTTGTGTTGCTTTCATTATATTATATACTCCCCTATGAGTCATAATCTAGATTATATCCTGTTTGGTTTAGTGTACTATCACATTGTTATCAATTTTGTATTTGTATCCTCCATTTGATAAGAAACAACTAGAGTTAATAGTGATGGATGATCACGATGACGATATATCAGTCCCTTCGATGATGATGCAGCGCCGACGACGCCGAACCGGAAGTGTCCGCACTAGCGCCACGTGTAAACCTTCTACGAATCGGCCGCGTGGCACTTGGATCCAGACTGGCGGATCTCCTCTGTTGACGCATTTGCGCCGCCAACATTTCCACCTCCCAGTTGTTGGGAGAGTTTTCATATTCGCCGGATTCATATCCGGGTTCAGGCTCGGAGGAATCCCCGCCGAATTCAGACTCGGTGTCCGTGTTGGAGTCCATTTCAAGGATGACTTCATCCGTGGGTCCTTGCCATATGGGTTGGGGCATAGGGTTTGTGGAAGTTGTTCTAATTCTGTGGATTCGTTGCGGTTTAGTTCGTCCCAGGAGTGCTCGTGACCGGAAACGACAGTTTCGATTGAGTCCTGTGGGTGAACCAGTTGAGATAAATTTATGGGGTTAAGTGTATGAGGTGGAGAATTTAATTGGGTATATTTTATTTTAATGAATTTTTTTTGTATTTTTTTGGATTGGTGAGTTATTTTGGTTTTTGTGAGATATTTACCGTGTATGAATCGTCGGTGGCTTTTTCTAATTCGTGGATGTGTTCTCGGAGTTGGTCAATTGTCTCGTCGCGTTCTTTGAGTTCTTCTTCGAGTTTTATTAGTTTTTGTTGGTATTTGTCCTGCATGTCTTGGAGGTGTGTGCTCATTACTTGTTTGATTGCCATGAGAATATCTGCGAAATATTGCTGTTCTTCGTCTAGAGAACCTAAAAATTAAAATTATAAATTAAATTATTAACTTTAACCTTAAATATCTTTTTAATGGTATGGTGAATTTTAAATATTTTTACAGTATATTGTAAATTGGTTAATTCTCTATAATTTATCTTAATACAATTTTTTGTTATCATTTGTGGTTTAAAAGTTATTGAAGTGCCCAAATTTTTTGCAAAATTTTGTTGCAAATTATGAAACATTGAGTTTAACCTCAAATATCACCTAAAATATTGAGTTTTTGAAATTTTTAAAAATATATTCGGGTAGAATAGGTAAATACCAACAATTTATCTTAATAAAATTTTTTGTTATCATTTACGGTTCAAAAGTTATTGCAATGCCCAAATTTTCAGAAAAAAGTTTGTTGTATATTATGAAAAATTGAGTTTAACCTCAAATATCTCCTTAAATATTAAATTTACACAAATTTTATAAATATATCCTAATAGATTGGTTAATTCTTAACAATTTATCTTAATACATTTTTTTGTTATAAATTATGGTTCAAATCTTATCGACATGCCCAAAATTTGTCAAAAAATTACTTCAAACTGTTGCATACTGAACTTTAACCTCAAATATCTCCTCAAATATTATAACTAATAAAATTTACTAAAAACATCCTCATAGACCATTTAACCCTTAACAATTTATCTTAATAAATTTTTCTTCTACCTCCCCCCAATCAAAAGTTATCCTAAAATTCAAAAAATTTTACCCCCACTACTTTTATTTTCCAAAACCTACCTTTGTACTTCATCTGATTGCTTTTCGAGGTTATAATCTGCACATTACACTTCTCCTGCTTCTCCTGCTGCATCCTCTCCTCCTCCAGCCTATTCTTCAACTCATCAATATTATTATTCCCTGGAGAACCATTCGGCGGCGGTGGAGGCGGAATAACACTAGTAATATTCGTCACCGTAATATTGGTCAAATTGGAAACATTATTACTAATTTGTGGTATATGCACCGGACCTTCCCCCCCTCCCCCTGCACATGCGCATGCGCATGAATCCCACCATCCCCACCAACATCCCCATGCGGAATATTCTTAATCAACGGCGACGTGGGTAAACTTGTAGTGGTAGTAAAAATCGGCGTGGACAAAAACGGAAAAGACGTAGAATCATCAAGACCATGACCACCATGAGGTACCCTGGTAACACAGGTCAAAGCATTCCCACTATTCGGCGGACTGGGAAGTGTATCCCTATTAAAAGTAACACTTTTCGACAACTTGGAATGCCTGGCTGCATAACCTTCAATCGTGGGTGCCCTCATCAACTTCCGGAACTCAGTAGAATCCACTTTTTCCGGCATGGTCGTAGCTGTAGCAGGAGGAATCTCCTCTGAGAGTTTCTTCAGAATACTCTTCAAATTCCTCCTTTCTAAGGTCTCATTACTTTCTGTACTTGAATGCAGAGGAGATGGTACCAGGAGTCTCTCCATGGCATGATGCATGGTACTACCCTCAGACCTACTCCTGGTAAGATGATCCCCTGTATCCTCCTTATCGGAAATATCCAGGGAGAAGGACCTTGTCTTCATGACAGTTTCCAACTCTTCTAATTTTTGTCTTTCGTTCAAAATCTTCAATTTCTTCACAAAAGGTAACCCGCCATATTCTGGACTTAAGTCATCTATGGACCTATATTGTTTGGTGGTACGTTGAGTCAGAATCAACCTGGGCCTAGGTTTAGAATCATTGTTGAGAAATATAGAATCTGAGTTCAAGTTCTCATCGGATTCTTCTTTGATGGTACCAACTTCAGTTTTTCTGAGATTAGTTAGCGAGGAACTAGCAGACATCTGCCGCTCGGAGTTATCTCGGACAATGGCGGCCTTTTTTAATTTGGACCAATGAGCTTCCTTTTCATTCTCATCTTTATCCAGACTTTCATTGGACTGTGGAGAATCTTTCGGGGATTCTTCAACGGAAGGTTCTGGGATGTCCTTCAAGGGTTGATGATGTTGATGGTGTTCCTTAGTCTCTTTGAGTTGTTTCAATTTCTCCCGGAAGGAAACCTTATTCGCAGGTTTTGTTATTGTAGATGTTAATAAATTCTTTGTGGTTAAGGTACAAGTGGATGTAGAAGTAACTACAGAATTTGTACAAGGTGTAGAATTAGTGGTACCCTTACTAGTTGAAGCCTGGACCTGAGATAGATTCTGAGATAGCGCTGCTTTATCCTCTTTGGCTTTCAGAAGTAAAAGTCTTTGTAAAAGTGGTAAACCTGCACCTATGACTTCCGGTTGGTCTTTTTCTTCAGAACCTGTGGTGGATCCACTGCTAGGTACCAGATTACTACTTCCGGTTGGGGTGGACTTTTTACACTGGCGGGTGATGGGCTATGACCCAATGGACTTGACCCTACTCTCTCCTCATGTTCTTGTTTTTCTTTCAATAATCTAAGTCTGGATAACAGGGGTAACCCTGCTCCTAGTGGGGAAGTGACCTTTTCAGGACCATCCACATCAGATTCTTTCTTTTCTTCTTCTTGGGATAATTCATGGGATCTTACCCTGGGCATCCTTTTGAGGACTCCTTTCCCATCCCGGTTTTCTACTTGAATGCAGAGGTTGTAGTTCTAGGGATTCGTGACTTCTTCGATGGGTTCTACTTTTTCGCAGAGCGTTTCTGAGTCCTTTTGCTTCGTTTTTTATTTTGTCTACTAACCCTTTACCATCCGCCATTTCTTTTTCTTTTTGGTAAGCTCTGGCGGATGCTTTGACTTCCATCAAACGTTTCCTCCCTAAAGCTTGGAGAATTTCTTGAGCTTCTGGGTAGTCTTTCATTGCGTTGAGGACATCTTCCCGGGAGAGTGAGAATAATTCTGAGTATCCTACAGAACGCACATCTGCTGTACGCCTAGAACCATAATAATTCTGTATCTTTTTAATTGTAGAATTATTACCGAATACTTACTTATTGAGTCCGTCGAGATTCAGAATTCCAATTTCTCCGAAAAAATCACCTGCTTTCATTGTTGTGAGGACTTTACCGGCTTCGCTAAGGACTTCCAGAATTCCATCTGCGATTATGAACATCTCCCTCGCAACCTCACCTTTTCTACATATAGAATCTCCAGGTGTGAAGATGTATGCTTTCATTTTGAGCACCAAATCTCTCAGAAATTCTGGTTGGCATTCTTGGAATATCGTCACCTTTTTCAGTACACTTAGGTTGACATGAAGGGCTAATTCTGTTTTTAGTTTATCTGGGAGTAGGCCAAGGGCGGTGTTGATGTCCCCGCCTCCTGGATACGTCCCCGGGACCAAGAATAGTCATACCATCGAAGGACACGACGTTTCATACCTCCCGGTACCTGGATTCACAAAAAAATTTAGATGCAGAATTTTTTGGTTGGAATTCTGTAATTACCTTGTGATGTCTCATGTAGGTTTTTGCACCGTCCAAGAGACGTTCGAATTCTAACCTATTGGCGTTCCTGTTTGTTATCACATTACCTACTTGACCTAAAAAGATATAGAATTTTTTATTGTAATTCTGAGTCTTTTTATGGGACTTACCAACTATTGTCGCAAATATAAATACACCTATCAAATAAGAAACGATTGTGAACACATATCTGAAACAAATTTAGTGTTAGAATTCAAATTCTGTATATTGGGACTTAGAATTTTATTAAAAAACATAAAAATTTCAGAATAGGTTTAAAGGGCCCTAGGTTTTAGTTTAGAAAAATTTTGTGTCGTTATTTTCGAATTTGGTGAACGGCCCTTTAGTCCTTTTTCTGAGATTATTTAATTGTAGAATTTACCTACCCTTCGTTATTGTTGAATTGTAGCAGACGCGATTTGACGCCACGACGCGGCAAGGACCTCGGGCCGTCCACCGAATTAGTTTTTCTGTGTTTCAGAAATTTTTATTTTAAAAATTTTAGACACAGAATTTTAAAAATAAATTCTTTAGTAGTACCTAAACACATTCTAAGTGTTTTGACTCAAATTTAAAGCTTGCATTCCTTACAGAATGAGACGTAGAATTTTCACTTACTCGGCATTTGTTTCCGGCGTGGGTAAATCGCCGATTGTGGTTAGTGTCAACGTCGACCAATACAGCGACCCGAGATATTTCCTCGTCAAAGTTGCATAGTCGCCTGGACGGTATGGATATACCCAATCACCCTATAAATAAATTCTGTATCAAAGAAAGTCTTAGAATTTTTTCCTTTACCTGAAATCCTTCCGCTTCTGACAGGAGGAAATAAAAGCAGCCGAACCAATGGGCCAAAATGAGCAGGATGTGGATCAAGTTCACCACGCGCCATAAATTCGGATACACCGTGCGTGACTCAACCATATAATAGTAATTTATTGCGCGATAAACCTAATTACAGAATAATGACAAAAATTATTTTAATTCTGTAAAAACTTTTTAGTCTTAGAATTTCACGAAACGTAAAGATCTGTTAAAAATTTTAGACTCAGAATTTTTTCTACATCACCTTAAAAAATCTGGGAAATCTCAACAGTGGCTGCGGTCCGAGATGAATCTGCAGTAAATCAAGTGGACATAGAGCGGCGAGATCGAGAAGGAAGGCACGTGACGTCAGGTAATGCTTAGCTAATTTCCGCGAATCGTAGACCATGAGTCCCTGTTCCAGATATCCGGTTCGTAGTTGTACAACCACATCCATAATAAAACACAGGTCACTTAGACAGTCACACGCCAGCCAGAAACCACTCAGGAGGGCTTGGAATTCTGGGAATGACTGTCGCACAATCAACGTCCACAGATTGTACAACACAGAAAGTGTCAGAATCAACAACCAGTAGAAGTAAAAGTTCTCATCGGGATTGACTACAGAACGCGGTTGTTTCCGACGTGCTCTTCTACGTCTTGTTGTTGTGCGTTCTGTAGTTCCACCTTCGCTTCCGGTATCTTCGACGGTTTCTTGTGTTTCGGGGATTTGTCTTGTAGAGAATCGTTGGAGAAAAGAGTCTTCCCTTTTCAAAGGTGGTTTCTGGAAAAATTTTAGACACAGAAAAATATTATTGTCTTAGAATTGTATGAAACGTGGAGATTTGATGTAAAATTTAGACTTAGAATTTTTCTTTGATACAGAAAAAACATAAAAGTTTTAAAATGTTATAAAACGTAAAGATTTATTAAAAAATTTAGACTCAGAATTTTTGACTTTTGTACACTAGACACAGAAAAAATAAAAGTTTTAAAATGTCATAAAACGTAAAGATTTTAAATAAAATTTAGACTCAGAATTTTTATACCTTTTGTATAGCTGATGATATTTGCACGGTAGTTCGAAGTTTCATCCATCGTTGATTCGATTTGGTTCTGTAACACATTATCACAAAATAAACCACAAATCCACTGATAATCCAGACGTAGAATTGAGCTAGAATTGTAGAATAATCAGAAAACGTCTAAGTTACATCTGAGGAACATTCACGATACTGTATAGTCGAGAGCAAGTCTTAGAAAAAGTCTTAGAGAATACCAATATACAAGATATAGAAAACGAAAAACATTCTCGTTATCAAGAGACATTCAGAAGATGCCACTAAGAATAATATCCTTCTGTATCCTGTGAAATCAAGGCCCACCAAAAATGCAAGACGTCATTCGACATACAAAGACTTAGAACATATGACAACCATGAGCAAAGGAGGAGGAGAAAATGGCCGCCTCGGCAATGAATGCGCCACCTCTTGATCTTCCGCAGCGTGTGATAATAAGCCATAACGGCGCGCAGATTCCTCCACGATTGCGTCGCCGGATTTTTCCCGCTCGATTCACCCAAGGCGCGTGCGCGCTCGTCGTCGTCCTGCTCGTCGTCCGCATCGTGCCTGAAACGAGTCGCGGGGCGTCACAGCGTACACACCAATAATACACGCTGTGGGCGTGGCTTCACAAAAACCTACGTTAGCATTGGTTGTGATGTCGGGGCGGAGCTTAATTATATCATTATAGGTTATATCTAGCTTTATTTTAATTCTGTAGTTTATAGTTTATAGCGACTAATGGATGTGTTTGATTGGTGGATATACTTACTCTACGCCCCGCCCACCGGGACTTTTGCAGTCGCTTAATTCGTCGTTGTTTGCATTCGATGAGTCTTCGTCTTCTTCTTCGCGGCTGGTGTTTTGGGAGCGTGGGGATTGGAGGGGCGTGGCTGCGTCATCGGAGCTGTTGCCATCGTTTGCTCCGCCTCCGAGTGCGCCTCCGCTGGCGGCGCAGCTTGTGCTTGTGTCGTTGCGCGAGTCACCTTCACTGGGCGGATCAATCTGGAAATAAAATTTAAAATTTGTTTTATAAAGAGTTTAGATTTTTTATAAAATTTAGACTTAGAATTTTTTGGATGATAGAGAAAAATATGATAGGTGTAGAATTTTATGAAACGTGAAGATTTGATGTAAAATTTAGACTCAGAATTTTGTCATATAAAATATTTGATACAGAAAAAAAATAAAAGTTTTAGAATTTTATAAAACGTAAAGATTTTATGTAAAATTTAGACTCAGAATTTTGTCATATAAAATATTTGATACAGAAAAAAAATAAAAGTTTTAGAATGTTATGAAACCTAAAGATTTCATGAAAAATTTAGACTCAGAATTTTTGACATTTTGTATACTAGACACAGAAAAAAATAAATATCTTAAAATTTTATGAAACGTAAAGATTCTAATTTTCATATGAAATCAAAAAAAATTAAATAAAAATATTTCAATAAAGACCAAGTCCTTAAATTAAATCTTATCACATCGTTATCAATTGAAAACAAATAATGATGGTTCTTAAACATCCTTAAAATGTTTTCTCTTGAAGAGCTTTTTTTTTCTTTTATCTTGACTTGTGAGTAAATAAAATCTTTCCGTGAGGATAACAAAGGATAATAATAAAATGCGGAAATTCTTGTGTTCACTTAAGTGCAGCGTGTTCTTATCCTTACAAGTCCTTTCCTATGTTCTTATCTTATTTTATTTTATTTTATTTTCCAGGACTTTCATGACAACTCCTTACATCAGTCCGTTAAAAAGACATTCACAATATAAATTCCCACCAGATGTACAAATTCCCACTATGCACTATTTATAATTACGAGTAGGAGTAAGAGTATATTGGGTTGCATATTTTTTTCATTTCTTATAAAGGGGCGGAGCTTAAAATCCATTTTTATTGATTTTAGCCTTTCTAATCAAAATATTAAAAAAATTCAAACTGTATTGTATTCTAGGCATGATTTCACATCATTTTACTTCATTATCCTTATCAATAATAATTATCCTTAAAATAAAAAAATATTTTATAATGCTTGTTGACTTTTGAATTTCTATGAATATCGGAAAAACTTCGCGTATAATGAGCAAAAATTGAACTTGACGTCGCGTGCGCGTGGTTGAACGAAGGATCAAGGACGAAGGACTCTATACCTGCACGACCCGAAGCATCTGAATAATTGATGCATTGCGCACAGCTTCCACTCATTCACACACAACACACACACACACAACACACATGGATATACACATTGGAGTAATCGTCTCGTCCTGTCAAGGACTATTTCGGTATCCGACATCCCCGGTGGTAAAATTCAACTGAACAATCAGTCAAAATGTGAAAATAGCATTCCGAATCGATAAACAACAAAAATAACTCATCCGGAACAGGATAATGCAATATCACAGGATGATGGTTTATAATTACATATGTGTATGAGTATATTGGGTTGCATAATTTTTGTTTTTGTATGAAGGGGCGGAGCTTAAAATTCGTTTTTATTGATTTTAAGGTTTTGTAATCAAAATAATGAAAAAATTTAAATTGTATGATATAATAGGGATTATTTTACTTCATTATCCTTGTTTATAATAATTATCCTTGAAATAAAAAAAAATCATGAATTTTGACTTTGACTTTATTTTTTCACTTCCGGAACCGGAAAAGTCTTTAAAAATTTGATTTTCCTGAAAATTATTTGTATAAAATTTTCTAGGATATTTCTAGGATAACAAAAAAATATTTTTTCCGGTTTTAAGTCACTTCCGGAAAACCGGAAAAATTATTTTTTTACGTTTGGGAACATTGAAGGATAATTCAAGGACAAACCATAAGACTGAAGCCAAACATATTGGCGACCATCGCCGGCGGCGTGCTGGGCGTCCGTCGGATGCATCTGCGGTGCGTGTGCGGATGATGATGATCGTGTAGATGGCAGTGCAAGCGCGCCGCCATTGTCGTCCTGATTATCCCCGTCGGCGATAAACTTTAAATGCCCACTACGATGCACTACTTAAATGATAAAATTGCGCACATGTCGTAAACTTGATGTGCAATGAAGTGCAGAGAAATAATGCATGAATTATCCTTTTTCCTTATCTTATCTTGGGAAAAAGGATAATTTGTGCAAAACAACACAAAATAAATAAATAAAGCAAAACAAAATAAAAGCAAAAATTAAAATAAAGAAATAAATAATAATAAATAAACATAAGGTAGTAATGTAATTTATCCTGAGTGGAAAATAAATATGGCGGATGATTTATACAGTCTGTTTACAGAAAAGGATAATTTTAATTTTTATTTTTTGTTATTTTTTATTTTTTTAAATTGAAAATTGTTTTTTGAGTTTATTAAGGGTATAAGTAGTGGGTTTAGTTGGTTTAGGGTTCAAGATATAAAAGGTCCTTTTTGTGTAGCGTGTTTATTGCTTGTTATCGGTTTAACCTCGAAGGATAACGACTTCTAATAACAATAAAATAAAAGCTCGAGTTGATCCAGAGGTTAGAGGTTACAGGTTTGGTAATACTAAACCAACAAAAATGGTTAGAGAAATAAATTTGCCATTTTTATTAATTTTATATAATAAAATAAAAAATAAAAAAATTAAAGGATAATAAAAATGATAATAAAAAGGATTAAAATTATTTTTGATAAAAATATATATGGGGTAAAATATATAGAAAGACTTACTAATAATGTAAATTTAAATTTTTAATTTCTGAATTTTATTTAAAAATTTTGAAAAATCCGCCATTTTGATCCTTAAAATTAGTTTATAACATTTAAACAAAATTCCATTGGAATTAATTTGGAATTATGTTTCTAAACACAGTAAAAATATTTAAAAAAATATAAATTAATAAATTTGCTAATTTTATTGAGTTTTTAATAAAATAAAGAAGGATAATGAAAAGAAAAAGAGATTAAAATAATTTTGGTTAAATATTTGAGAAATAAAGAAGATCTAGTAAGATTTACTAATAATGTGAATTTAACTTTTTCATTTTTCACTCTCATTTTAATATTTTAACAAAATCCGCCATCTTGATCCTTAAAATGAATTTTTAAAATTTAAACAAAATTCCACTGGAATTCATTTGGAATTTATCTTCTAAACACTGTAAAAATATTGAAAAAATATAAATTAATAAATTTGATATTTTTATCAATTTTTAAATAAAATAAAAAAGGATAATTAAAATAAAAGGATTCAAATAATTTTTAATAAAAATAAATAGGAAATAATGTATAGAAAGACTTACTAATAATGTGAATTTAACTTTTTTCATTTTTCACTATCATTTTAAAATTATCACAAAATCCGCCATCTTGATCCTTAAAATGAATTTTCAATATTTAAACAAAATTCCATCGCAAATCACTTGTCATTCACTTCCCAAACACACTAAAAATATTTAAAAAATATAAATCAATAAATTATCCTTGTTTTCTTAAAATTAATGCAAAACGACAAAAATTTATAATTTATAATTTATCGATTATTATAGAGTCACATGATTCATACTCATGTGACACACTAAATTACACACTACTTCAATCACATGTTTATTAAATCAAAAATTTTAAATCCTTATCCACGATTATTATCCTGATCCTTTACAAACAGAATAATTCATTAAATTACAAAAAAAAAAAAAACTAATAATTTTATTCGATTAAATTTTATCTTGTCACATTTCACATTTATTATTTATTAATTAATAAAAAACGTAATACTTCCAGATTAATAATTGAACGATTATCCACGTTTTTATTCACAAGGACGAGGATAGAAATAGAAATAGTCCTGCGGGCGACTATCGGACCGACCGACCGGTTGATGACTACTGCGAGGAGCGCCAGTCGACCAGAGTGTATATCGGCTGGCGTGGCGTTGCGTTGCGTGGCAGCACGTGCAACCCCACATCCTTTTCGTCCTTTTTTATCCTTTTTCTTTTCTTACCTTTTCTCCTCATTCTTATGCATTCAAATCTTATGATTTGCACACTAATCATATTCTCTTCGCTTTTATGTCATTTTTTAAAATACAAGAAGATAATATTAAAATTTTTGAGAAATAAATGTATATAAGGATAATGAAACACTCGGTATATTAATGTAGGCGTAAGGAGCAATTTGGTCCTGAATAAATGATGCGCCGACGGAATTGAATCCAATCGCTTAGAGGAAATCGAATTTTGAAAGAGAAACACTCTCTTTTTCATCTAGCCGCCATTATTATCCTGTTTTTTTTTCATTAACAGGAAAAGTTTAATTAATTATATCCTTAAAATAATTAGTTTTACAAAAATTTAATTACTACATCATCTATTATTAGGTAATAATAAAAATTTGCATTATAAGTAAAATTTTAAAGACTTTTCCGGTTTTCCGGAAGTGCAACAAAACCGGAAAAAATATTATTTTGTTATCCTAGAAATATCCTACAAAATAATGTTTAGTATAATCAAATTTTCAAAACTTGTCCGGTTCCGGAAATGAAAAAATAAAACCGGAAAAAATATATTTTTTAATTTTTTTAGAATAAATAAATCATATGCGTACTAATATTAATAAATATTTTTTGTTATCCTTGAAATGTCCTTCAAAAGTTTATACATTTAGGATCACCCAACAGGACTAAACAGGATTAAACAGGACTAAACAGGACAAAACTGAGTTTGCAAGCTTTGTACCAGCGGATCAGGCGCCACATGCAGTTGATAACTAGATTAATCGTCGCATGTCCTGTGAATTAGTCCTCATACTGATACATTAGAGCTTTCAGGACAATTACTCCTTGTTCTTGTTCTCATATTTAAAATATAAACAAAAAAAAATAAATCAAATAAAACAACATAAATCAACATAAAATTAAAAAAAATAAAAAAAAAATTATAAACTTTTTCCTTATACCTTTTCTATTTAAATATATAAAGTGTCATGGCGTCGTTTCCGGTACAAAATCTCTTTCACTGCCGCCAACTTCTGTTCCTGATGT